ATTGATCCATATTTTTTAATCCAATCTAAGCTTTCGGCTTACATAAGCCATTATCAAAGATGTCAATTATTGTATAATATATTTAACAATATACGGACAAGACAGTGATGATAGTCTGTTTCTGTTTACCTTTACCATATATATATATATATATATATATATATATATATATATATTACTTGCACCCTTAAGATGATCTTGGAAAAAGATCGAAAGTACTCGGGAAATTAAAATAAAAGAAATTTAAACAGCTACAGTACATTTCTCTCATCCTTTAGCATCAATAAACAGAAGGTTATTCGTGAGTATAAAAGGATTTGATTAAAAATTAGCAGACATAATGTTTATAATTTATTCAATCAGACATGCCTAAAAGAGAATTTGCTGCCTAAATACACAAATATATATGTGTGTGTGTGTGTGTGTGTGTGTGTGTGTGTGTGTGTGTGTGTGTGTGTGTGTGTTTTATCTTGATTGCTCTATATACATATATTCCAGGCGTAACATTAGAAATTATCATGCTCTCCGGAAGTTTATTCATTAATTCGACGCTTCCAATTCCACCTGGAATCATCTTCGGTGAGTACCAGTGGCAAATGTCTGCTTCATTATCCGAAGCCTAATATACAAAGGTGAAATGTGAAGCAAACTGTTGCCACTGGTTTCCTTCCCCTGATGATTATTCTAGACAGATTTGGAAGCGTCGGTGAAATAAATAAATGTCCCGGGAGCATCATAATCTCCAATAAACACACACACACACACACACACACATATGTCAGCTGTCAATATACCTCATAACAAACTCGAGCGCTTAGCCTTGGAGCGGGTAGAATGGAGATCAACGTGTTTTAGTTGGCTGAGGAGTTTTCAATCAGCTTGTCTTCAAGAAGCGTGAGCAAGATCTAAAAGGTCAGCCAATCTAACAGTGATCTCATCCCACAATCCTTACTCTTGCTCCATATTCGTTCTCCTTTATAAATCACTGGCGGTTCTTAAGTGCCACTTAAGATTATCGCACAAAATTTCATAACTAAGTCAATAAAGTTGTCAGATCCTCATACGTCGAAACCGACGGGAGAGTTCATTATATATATATATATATATATATATATATATATATATATATATACAGGATTAATGCAAATATAAAATTTGTCACTTAGGTGATTGGTGTTAAATGGATCATCAAATGGATCCCAAGAGATCACCATGCCGTGGAGCAATGGCAAATAGGCTCGTCTCACGGAACGTTTAACTCTACTAAGCTCAATCATTACTGAAATCCTCTTCTTTTATATGTCATACCTTTTCTGGGTGTTGGTGATCATGGCTCTCCATAAGTTCCTTTCTTTTTCTCGTTACTATCCATTTGTGTCCTTGTTCTGACAGCCCGACATACAAATTGTTCTTCCTTGGTTTCACCAGTTTAGACCTTCACAGCTAGCCACGTAGACTGTGATGAATCAACCTCATTCCCTTCGTGTTGCATTAGTAAAGAGGAAGTCCAAATTTGGACAGCTTCTTCCTAAGAACAGCTACTTTCTTCCAAGAGGATGTTTTCCCTTACGTTACAATCTTCAAGTCAAGTGCTAACCGTTATCTATGCTTATAAACTTCACATCTTACCTTCTCCTTTTACGCTCATACAACAACCCCATTTGGTAACTCTCTATCTTGAGTGGCTCTTGCACCTTGTTTTGAGTGAAAATTTGTAAAAGTAAAGAAACTCGTTGAGTAGGTTACTCACTTTTTACTCCTACTTCACTCTTTCTCGAGATGTCTTGTGAGTGTTAAAATCTCCAGACCTTCTTTTCTCATTGTGTGTTTCAAAAATTTCAAATGTCTATTTCTGATTGTAAGTATCCATTTCCTTTTAGCTCGTGCTTTCCATAAAACATCCTCCTTGCTTAAATGTTCTTTCCATGGTATTCTCAGCATCCTTCTGTAGAACTACATCTCTAATGCTTCAAGTCTTTATGAAGAGATTGTCTAGCATTCACTACCCAATAGAAGGATAGATATAAGATAGCTGCTTCGCAGTATTTTCTTTGTTTCTAACTAGATTTTCCTTTTCTCTTTATGCTTTGCTTAGTTTATGAAAGGCATCTTTCGACATTCTTACATTTCAGCATTGTGCGTCGCATTTTTCCATCTCTTTTTACTTTTATGTACCATGTCCCTCCAGGATGTCGGTGATTATAGTTCTCCACTATTTCCTGTGTTTTGTAGCTGTTAATAAATTTAGTCTTTTTGTCTCTTCTAAACCTTGCTCAACCTTCCATTTAGGTTCTAGGTAGGTTATGCGTTGTTCTCTCTATCGCTCTTGCCTTCCATCTGTCTTGTGAGTATCAGATTTTCCAAGCCCTCTTTCTTCATTATTTTCCCTAAAAATTTCGACTGTCTGTTCCTGGTGTTAAGTATAACTGCCAATATAATTAATTTCGATACTTGATTGATTTTAACAGCCGCGATTAATAGCTTATACTTTGGCCAGTCTTTTTTTTTCTATCAAAAACCATGCATTCTGTCATTTTACAGGTAGTAGTCCCTTCTTCTTGCCTTCTTTTATTACATTATCTAAAAGTTAATATATTAATGAAGATTGAAACGGCTGTAGAATAATTCTCTTTTACTTCTTTAAATAATGACTTGCCTTCTTATTTAAGATTGTCATTGAAAGATTTTTGTTAAAGTTGCTAAAACTTTTTAAAGTCCCTTGATTCAACGAATTGTCATGAAGAGAAAATATTCATACAACAGATTAAACAATCTGAAACAAAATAATGCATTCAAAATAGATGAAAAGAGATAGTTTAAAATACTTAGCTTTCTTGGATTGTTGCGATAAAGTTCTTTGAAATGCCAAATGCTTGGTTAAGGCCAGTAATATAATTAGCGAGTAATTTGACGCTGGTGAAAACCTGGACGCATGAGCAGAAATGAAACTTTTGACATGGCTTCAGACTTCTCTTGTTGAATCAAAATTAAACAAACTGTTCATTAAAATAAAAACCCCATTCTTTTTTTGTTTTAAGACACCTACAAAAAGTGGGTTATTTTTCATTAATACACGACTCTATCCTATTATGATTCAGCTTTGTTTGTAGAGTAATTGGTAGAAATGCCCAACAAACACTATTGACAAAGTTTATAGTAAACAATAACAAAGAAAAGAACGCGGCAAAAATAATAAGAAGCAAACAATATATATGTAAATCAAAACTAGGTAAAGCGAAAATGATAAGGTAAAAAGTAAGTATGGTGTTAACACACAAAAAGTTCCGTCTATATTTCTGAGATGAGGTATTATGTACATTATTTACATTATTCGGACTATTGTCCTCATCTTTGTCGCCATATTTATTACAACGTTTCGACCGTTATACGCTCCGGCCTTCTTCAGGTGGTTGGAATGTTGAACTGAATCCTTTCTTTCGCTCACTGGGGTAGACTGTTCTAGTTCCACGTGCCATGTTTAATGGATGTCAGTTATCAGTTATCTGTTAATTCCCCTCTCCAAGTTCTCCACTGCCATAGCCGGGTATTGAACTCACACTCTTTGGGTTCTGTCACTGGATCTAACCAACGCCATTATACACTGCGCCAGGTATCCTTGAGGACACATGGCAGAGTGGATAAAGACGTGACAGGACCCAAAGAGTGTGAGTTCAATACCCGGTTAAGGCAGTTGAGAACTTGAAGAGGGAAATTAACAGGAGATAACTGATAACTGACATCAATTCAGTTCGATATTCCAACCACCTGAAGAAGGCCGGAGCGTACAACGGCCGGAGCGTACAACGGCCGAAACGTTGTAATAAATGTGGCGACAAAAATGAGGACAATAGTCCGAATAATGTAAATAGTGTACACAAAAGGTTATAGTCAAGTAATCGTAGCGTTCTGACTTCAAGACAAGCAAGAACAAGAATATACCAGATGCGACCAAAATGTGATTTACCGACTTCTTCCTGCGATGAATGCCTCTGACATTTTCTTATTATAATGAGAAAAGAGGGATTGGAGAATCTGACACTCACAAGACATATTGAAATCAAGAGAGACAGCGAAACAGTTTGTGAACATGGAATACAGAACATGGATTGGAAACGATAAAAAAATGAGAACATTGCTAAGAGCTACAGGAAGATATGGAGAGCCATGAATTCCAACGTTCAGACTTTGTCATAGACTTAGGTTAGTTAATCCCTGAAACAAGCACCAGTCATTTTTAGATCTTCCAAAAACTCTTTTAATAGCTGGAATGGTCAACATTACTTAGTAGACACAAGCCAAGAAGCAATAATAGCAAAAACGAAGAAAAAAAAACAATGAAACGATTTTTTAAAAATTAATCTTTATTGATTTCAACACGCAGCTTTTCACAGAGGACATAATCTTAAGGACGTTGCTCGTTAAGTAAAGCCGGTGCCTGTGAAAGTTTTTATGTCAATGATTCGATATATAGACTTTGGATGAATTCGAAACTGTCGCTCTTGTCAGTCTGTAGCTTAATATTCGTGATAGGCAAGATTAAAAATATCTACCAAATGATGCGGGTGTCGGGGTATAGGGTTCTAGGGTATTAAGTAAAGAGAAAAGAAAGCATTGACAGTTTGAAGTTCGTGAAATCAGAGAATAAATACTAGAAATTGAAATAAAAGAAAGAAAGAAGAAATTGGGAAGAGAAAAGGCGTAGATGATGAGGCTGGGGAGGGGGTGATATAGAAATGAGTTGGGAAGGGGGGAAAAGGCATCAAACTTCCAACCACCCTCCCGTTACCCTTGACTGATTCCCCACCCACAACTCTCCTCACGCCCCTTCCTTCTCAGATATGAGTCACATCTGACTCACACTGAAGCGCTTATGCGCCAAGGAAGGATACATTCATAATTTTGGGTTTCAGTTTTGTGTTTTCGAAACAAGGGAAAGAAAATGGTGCACGGAGGGGGGGGGCTAAGTGGGGAAGGGGGGCAGATTTTACTTTCTTTATGTAATGTCTTTGTTGTTTTTTCTTCTTTATTTCTTTCAGCTTTCTTTCTTTCTTTTTCTATTTTTCTTTGTCTTTTTCTTTATTTGTTTCATTTTCCTTCTTTCTTTCTTTTCATTCAGTTTTCTTTTTCTTTGTTTTCTTTCTTTTTTCTGTTTTCTTTCTTTCTTTTTCTTTCAGTTTTCTTTCTTTTTTCTTTCCCTTCTATTTTCCTTTGTTTTTTTCTTTATTTGTTTTCTTTTCCTTCTTTCTTTCTTTCTTTCTTTTTCTTTCTTTTTTCTTTCTTTTTTTTCTGTTTTCTTTCTTTCTTTTTCTTTCAGTTTTCTTTCTTTCTATTTTCTTTCCCTTTTATTTTCCTTTGCTTTTTCTTTATTTGTTTTCATTTCTTTCTTTCTTTCTTTCTTTCTTTCTTTCTTTCTTTCTTTCTTTCTGTTTTCGTTCTTTTTTGTTTTCTTTCTTTCTTTTCCTTTCAGTTTTCTTTCTTTCTTTTCCTTTCTGTTTTCTTTCTTTCTTTTTTTGTTTTCTGTTTTCTTTTTTTATCTCAGTTTTCTTTCTTTCTTTTTCTTTCTGTTTTTCTATCATTGTTTTTTTGCATTTATTATTTTTCCTTACGTTTTCGTCATTTTTCTTCTTCATTTCTTTTCATTTTCTTCCTTTCTTTTTCTTTTGTTCGTATCTTCTTTCTTTTTCTTTCTTCTTCTATTGATTTCTATTTCTCTCAGTTTTTTATCATTACATCATTTTTTTTCCTTTACTGTTTTCTTTTCTCCCTTTTCTGTATATTCTTAACGTTTTTTTTCTTTCATTTTTCTTCCTTTCTTTGTGCTTGTTGTATGTTTTCTTTTATTCATTTTCTTTTTTTACTTCCTTTACTTCTTTTTTCTTTTTTATTTACCTCTTTCTTTCTTTCATTTATCTTTCTTCTTCTTTTCATTTTTTGCTTTATTTAATTAGCGATTTTTCATTCTTTTTTTTTATATTTTACTTTAGCTTTTCTTTCATTGTTTTTTTTTTCTCGCTTCTTTTGTATTTTTAATTTCGTGTTCTTTTTCTTTTTTGCTTTCTTTCTGTTTTTTCTTCCTTCCTTTTCTGTTTCTGATTTTCCTTCCATTCGTTTTTTGTGTATTTCTTTCCTTCTGTATTCGTTCTTTCTTTCTTACATTTTCCCTTCTTTCTTTCTTTCTTTCTTTCTGTTTTTCTTCTTCTTGTCTTGCTTTCCTTTTTCTTTCACTTTTCTTTCTTTTTCAATCCGTTTTCATTTTTCCTATTTTATTATTTCGCTTTGTCTTCTTTCTTCTTTCTTTCTTTTTTTCTTGCATTTTTCTTTCTTCTTTCTTTCTTCTTTTTTCTTTCGTTCATCTTTCTTTCTTTCTTTTTTCTTCTAACTTTTTAATCATTTTGTACTATCTTTCTTTCTTTCTCTTTTTGTTTTCTTTCTTCCTTTCTATTTTTTCCTTCGTTTATTTCCTGTTTTTTCCTTCCTCCATCTCTGCTCGTCTGTTTTCTTTTGTTGGATTCTCTTTCTTTTCTTCTTTTACTCCTTCGTATTTCCTTCTTTATTTCAGTTTTCATTCCCGCTTTTATTTATTTATTTCATTGTTTTCCTTTCTATTTTCTATTCTTTAAATTTTCTTCATTTTGTCTTTCATTCCTTTTCTCTCCCATATATATATATATATATATATATATATATATATATATATATATATATATATATATATATATATATATATATATATATATATATCAGAGTAGCAGTATTAAAAAGTGTTCAATACACGTCTGAAAAAAATGTAGAGCTTTTAACTTTAAAAATTAGATCATAATTTTTTAAGTCATATTTATATCTTAGCTTGCGTTCCTTCAATTTAAAATCTTTCTTTTCTACTCGATGAAAGACTTTCAATCATTTTCTTTTTCGTCTTTATTTTTCCTCACATTTTTTCTTTAACATTATCATTCTTTCCTTAAATCTTTCTTTTCCTTTTTTTTTTTTTTCCTTTTCTCTGGTTGTCAGTTTCTTTTACTTTTTATTCATAATTTCTTTTACTCCATTTTCCTTTTTTGCTTGTTTTTCTTTTTCTATCTTTCTTTGTTTCTTTTCTTCTTTTTCTTTTTCTTCCTCTTTGTTTGTAATTTTAATTCTTCATTTCATATAGACTTTTTTTCCATACCTTTCCTTTTTTAATTTTCTATCTTTTCCTTCATCCTTTCTTTCTTCATCTTTGTTCTTTATTTATTTATTTATTTATTTCTGTTTCCTTTTCTTTCCTACTTCATTTTTTATATATATATATATATATTTTTTTTTTTTTTTTTTTTTGGTGGGGGATTCCCGTATTTTATATCTCCCTTATTTTTAAATTACAATTGCCCGCCAATTCCTTTTTATTTTCTTTCTTTCTTTTTTCTGTCTTTCTTTCTTTCCTTTTCTTTTACTTCCTCTTTACTACCTTTTTCCTTACTTTTTCCTTTTTAATTTTCTTTCTTTTTTTTCTTCCTCCTTTCTTTCTTCCTTTTTATTCTTTCTTTCTTTCTTTCTTTCTTTCTTTCGTTTCTGTCTTCCTTTACTTCTTTTTAATTTAATTTTTGTTACATTTTCTTTTTCTTTCTTTCTTTCTTTCTTTCTTTCTTTCTTTCTTTCTTTCTTTCTTTCTTTCTTTCTTCTCCGTATTCCTCCGGCATTTACTTCCTCTTTTCTACCGTTTTTCCTTACCTTTCCCTTTTCACCTTTTAATTTACTTTTCTTTCATTCTTTTCGTTGCCCTTTTCTTTCACTTTTTCCACGACTCTTTCTATCACCCTCTCATGCAATTCTACCTTCGTTCTGCTTTTTACTCTCGTCATGCGTCATTCAAAATTTTTCTTCTTTGTTTAGATTTCTGCCTTTATTCACGTATTTTTTTTTCATTCATGGTAACTCTCACTTTTATTTATTTATCATTTGTCTATTTCATTGAGCGTGACCAACAACGTGCAACAAAAATACTGTTTGCAATTAAGCCCTGTCGAAGTGACCATAGACACAAAGCCCTTGAAACGTCAGAGGGTCGCTGGTTATAATGGCTGACAAGATGTAAGACAACGAATGAAAGTTGCCGGTTGGCGAAAGGCAGGGGATTGGCTGAGTATAGAAAGATAGCTGCTTCGTTCTCTCTTTATTTATTTATTGTATGATTTCTTTTGTATCATTGCATTTTTTTTTATGAACGTCCATGTTTTACATGATTTAATCGCTTTTCAAAAAGCTGGTATCGTACGATTGTGGCACGCCATTTTCTTTTTGTGCTTTTATTTTCATTGAATTTTCTGCTTTTTATTTGATTTGATTTTATTTAGCCAGTGACTAAGATTGACTACATTATCGTTTGATGTTTCATTTCCGATAAAGGGCCGGTCTTTGCTTACCTGTAAATTAATTTCGATATCAATATTTAAGTAAATGCTCTGTTTTCTAATAAACAGTATTAACAACATTTACCGGCCTGATTTTCATAGAAAATTTTCGTCCTCCGACAGGAATCGAACCTGTATCCTATACGGAACCTTCATATAGCCTAACGTGCATTTAACCGATTTGGCTACAGAGGAGCGTTCGGTTAGCAAGGTCAATTTTACTGCCTTTAAACTTCCATGAATCTCTCACGTACATTCATATCTGCTCATGGCGTATCCAAATGTAAACAAATGACGTCACACATTATGAAATTGACAAAGTCCGACAATTATTTTTAAGACATTTTTATGTTTATACATTCTTTTTATAGATAGAACTATTTAAGTAAATGGTCTGTTTTATAATAAATATAACGTTCGGTTAGCAAGGTCGATTTTACTGTCTTTAAACTTTAATCTTCCATGAATCTCTCACGTACATTCATATCTGCTCATGGCGTTGTTTAATACTGTTTATTATAAAACAGAGCATTTACTTAAATATCTGTATCTATAAAAACAATGTATAAACATAAAAAATGTCTTAAAAATAATTGTCGGACTTTGTCCATTTCATAATGTGTGACGTCATTCTTATGTATGTAGATATACGCACATACATATGTTTCGGTGTGTGTATACTCACGATTTTTATACCACGTTATATAGTCTGACGTGGCAAAAGTCATGGGATTGGTATAAATAAGTGTAATGGTAGGTACGTCACCATACCTTAAAGTCCAAATCTATACCAGTTGTGTTGTGACATCTGGTGAATTAGTCTAACAACTGTTGCGGATAAAAACGGCAAACCAATGCGAATTAGCAAAATTCCAAAGAGTGCTTGATAGTAAATGCTAAACGTATCGAAAATCCTATTTCTGAAATTGTTTGGATATTTGACATAATTGGATTTACAGTGTACCTGATGCAAGTCATTACCGTCCACTGTGGGCAGCGCCGTGGCCTTAATGATCGTGACCAACGTCGATAGAATTGCCTGCATTAACAAACAAATGATAATGGTTCAAATCACAACCAGGATCAATGGAGAAATTACGAGACGCATTTGCACTAAGTTAGTCCCGTCTTATATAAGTTCATTTGTATATGAGATCAGAAGACTTAGCAGGACGCGCCTGTTAACAGCTCGACACGGGACAAAACGCGTCACCTGGTCTCATGTCGTCTCTCATTGAACCCTCGATGATTGTCGTTCGTACGTGTAACGATGAGTCACTGCTCCAGGTGTTTCGGACTAAAAATAATGTGCATTTATAGCGCAGATCCCATAAAGCCATAAACCTCAGTTGTCAACAAGGCACCTTACAGGTTCGTGGTGACCCCATAATGGGGTGTTCTGTGTTTATGCAGCATCAGCTAGGTCAGCTGGTTCACTGATATGCGTCATTGTTTCATGTCCGCACTGTTCCACTGCTTCATGTAAGAATTCCAGTCATATTGCATTCACTTATGCACAAATACCCTTGGGAAAGTTATGAAATCATCCCTTGTCCCCTGCTATGGGTTAAATAGTAACACTTATATCTGGAAGAATCATTGTTATCTTCTTATATTGTGCAATATTCACTCGCAAAACTAATTATTCTTGCAGTCCAAAATATTTTTCGACTTTAAATAACGCATAAAAGGGTTGATAAACCGTAAGAAAACAAATCAATCAATCTCTTAGACTGACAAGGTACGAGAGTCAAGTTTCACCCTATTCCACCGGCACATTCCAGGATGTGCAGGTGGTGTAATGGGTAGCGGCTCAGAATTATAAATCAGAGTACTGAGGTCGAATTACAGTCGAATTCGTTACATTCCCTTACGCACAAATACTCTTGGAAAATGTGTGAATCCATCTCTTCTGTCCCCCGCTATGGATTAAATATTAGAGCTTGTATATGGAAAAAAAATCACTGTTATCTCTAAAAATTGTTAATTAAGTATTCTCTCGCAAAAAAATGAATTGTTATTTTTTTATCTTTCGACTTTAAATAATCCACAAAGATGATAAGCTGTAAAAAATCAATCAAATCAACCAATCACTGCTTGGTGACTATTTACACCGATACACTGATACTACGTACCCCCAACAATGATATGCTATTTCAGTAGGAGAGGTTTGAGCCGAAGTCTTTATTAAATCAAAATTCATTTAAAGAACTCCACCAAAAAAAATAATCCCAATGTATTAACCATTATTATATGATTCGGCCAACTAAGTGAGTTATAGTCCAGTGTAAGGAAGTGTTGATTCCTAGACACCTTGGAGTTCAATCCCTGGAGCAGGTAATGCTTAAAAGTTGCTGACTCTAGTCAAATCGAAGGGACGGACATGCGATGGAAAGTGCATAAACTTCTGAGTAGTTCATTTTTTCCTATCAGAAACTTCACTCAAATTTGAGTAAATCTTATGCAAATTCCGTTCTGACGTCAGTGCGGCTTAAACAACTAAAAATAAATAAAAACTTACTAAATAACTTATTTCACACTTTATTCATTTCAATTTTTCTAGTTTAATTGAACTAAAATGCCGTTCTATTCTATTTATTAAATTCACACATAAAAAGTTTAAGCATCTTTGGTACTAATTCCTGTACTGGTAAAAAGTTCTTAAGTTACTTATTTAAAAGAAAAATTTAATTGATATAAGTTATCTTCCCTTGCCAATGAACGAGAAATGAAAAAAAATCACCTCCCATAGATATAAATAAACAGCTCTTTTCAAAATTCCGGGGATGTTAACGATTAAAAAGGGATCCTTGAAGTAAGATGTTGGACCGAAACAGATTAAGGACTGTATCATCCTCCCATAAAAAAAACAACGTTACTCAAACAAAACTTTCAAGTGTAAAATTTTTTCCCAACTTTACGGATTTTCCCAAACTTTACAGATATTTTTTTCCAAACTTTACAGATTTTTTTCCAAACTTTACAGATTTTTTTCCAAACGTTACAGATTTTTTTCAAAATTTTACAAACTCTACGATTTTTTTCAAAAACGTTATTTTTTTTCAAACTTTACAGATTTTTTTTTTACAATTTTTTCCAAACTTTATGATTTTTTTTTCCAAAACTTTACAGATTTTTTTCCAAACTTACAGATTTTTTCCAAACTTTACAGATTTTTTTCCAAACTTTAAAAATTTTTTTCAAACTTTACAGATATTTTTGAAAACGTTTTTTCCAAACTTTTACAGATTTTTTCAAACTTTACAGATTTTTTCCAAACTTTTTCCAAATTTTTTTTTCCAAACTTTTTTGAGATTTTTTTTCCAAACTTTACAGATTTTTTTCCAAACTTTACAGATTTTTTTCCAAACTTTACAGATTTTTTACAAACTTTACAGATATTTTTGAAAGCGTTACAGATTTTTTCCAAACTTTACAGATTTTTTTCCAAACTTTACAGATTTTTTTCCAAACTTTACAGATTTTTTCCAAACTTTACAGATTTTTTTCCAAACTTTACAGATTTTTTCCAAACTTTACAGATTTTTTTTCAAACTTTTAAACTTTACAGATTTCTTTCAGATTTTTTTGAAAAACTTTACAGATTTTTTGATAGTTAGATTTTTTTTCCAAATTTTACAGATTTTTTCCAAACTTTACAGATTTTTTTCCAAACTTTACAAACTTTACAGATATTTTTTGCCAAACTTAAACTTTAGATTTTTTTCCAAACTTTACAGATTTTTTCTCCAAACTTTACAGA